GCCACAATGCCCGGCTATTTTTTGGTTGCAGCCATTATTGTTGTTTGGCAGGCCCAGGCTGGATTTGAACCCACCATCTTAGGTGTATGTGACTGGCACCTTAGCCGCTTGAGCCACAGGTGCTGAGCCTCTTCATGAAGTCTTTCCCCAGGCCAATATCTTCCAGTGTTTTTCCTATGCTTTCTTTGAGGATTTTTATTGTTTCATGCCTTAAATTTAAGTCCTTTATCCATCTTGAATCAATTTTTGTGAGTAAAGAAAGGTGTGGGTCCAATTTCAGTTTTACATGTGGATATCCAGTCCTCCAGCACCATTTATTGAATAGCGAGTCTTTCCCCCAAGGTATGTTCTTGTTTGATTTATCAAAGATTAGGTGGTTGTAAGATGTTAGTTTCATTTCCTGGTTTTCTATTCGCTTCCAAACATCTATGTCTCTATTTTTGTGCCAGTACCATGCTGTCTTGACCACTGTGGCTTTGTAGTACAGCCTAAAATCTGGTATGGTGATGCCCCAGCTTTGTTTTTATTAATAAGAACCACCTTAGCTATACTGGTTTTTTTTGGTTCCATACAAAATGCAGAATCATTTTTTTCCAAATCTTGAAAGTACAGTGTTGGTATCTTAATAGGGATGGGATTGAATAGGTAGATTGCTTTGGGAAGTATAGACATTTTAACAATGTTGATTCTTCCCAGCCATGAGCATGGTATATTCTTCCATCTGTTAATATCCTCTGCTATTTCCTTTCTTAGTATTTCATAATTTTCTTTATAGAGGTCCTTCACCTCCTTTGTTAGGTATATTCCTAGGTATTTCATTTTCTTTGAAGCTATGGTGAAGGAAGTTGTGTCATTAATTAGCTTCTCATCTTGACTATTATTGGCATATACAAAGGCTACTGACTTGTGGACATTGATTTTATATCCTGAGACATTACTGTATTTTTTAATGACTTACAGGAATCTTGTGGTTGAGTGTTTGGGGTTCTCTAAATATAAGATCATATCATCAGCAAAGAGGGAGAGTTTGACCTCCTCTGCTCACATTTGGATGCCCTTTATTTCCTTGTCTTGCCTAATTGTATTGACTAGAACTTCCAGCACTATGTTAAATAGTGACAGAGAACAACCTTGTCTGGTTCCAGTTCTAAGAGGAAAAGCTTTCAGTTTTACTCCATTCAGTAAAATATTAGCTGTGGGTTTGTCATAGATAGCTTCGATCAGTTTCAGAAATGTGACATGTATGCCTATACTCTTCAGTGTTCTAATTAGAAAAGGATTTGGATTTTATCAAATGCTTTTTCTGCATCTATTGAGAGGATCATATGGTCTTTGTTTTTGCTTCTGTTAATCCAGTGGATAACACTTATGAACTTGCGTATGTTAAACTAGCCTTGCATCCCTGGGAAGAAACCTCCTTGATTGTGATGTGTGACTTTTTTAATGATAAGCTGTAATCTATCGGCTAGGATTTGTTGAGAATTTTTGCATCTACATTCATTAGTGAAACTGGTCTGAAATTCTCCTTTTTAGTTGGGTCTTTTCCTAGTTTTTGGTATCCGGGTGATGTTTGCTTCATAGAATGTGTTGGGGAAAATTCCAATTTTTTCCTCCTCAATTTTTTGGAATAATTTCTGCAGTTACAAGAATAAGCTCTTCCTTGAAGGTTTGATAGAATTCTGATGTGAAGCCATCTGGACCAGGGCATTTTTTGTTGGAAGACTTTTTATTGTTTCTTTAATCTCAGTGCTTGAAAATTGGTCTGCTCAGAAGCTCTATTTCTTCCTGGCTAAGTCTAGGGAGAGGGTGTGATTTCAAATATTGATCCATTTCCTTTACATTGTCAAATTTCTGGGAATAGCATTTCTGGTAGTATTCAGAGATGATCTCTTGTACCTCTGTGGCAATAGTTGTAATTTCCCCTTTATCATTTCTGATTGAATTTACTAGAGATTTTACTTTTCTATTTCTAGTTAGTCTGGCCAAAGGTTTATCTATTTTATTTATTTTTTCAAAAAAAAACTTCTTATTTCATTACTTTTCTGAATGATTCTTTTGTTTTCAATTTCATTGATCTCTAGTTTAATTTTGGATGTTTCTTTTCTTC